CAGTCATAAGAAATTTAATTAATATTTATAGATAATCAGTATTTGATCCTATCTCTAGTTACAATTATTTTTGGCATTGGAAGTATGATTATTATTTGTGAATAAGTAATAATTCTAATATCAGATTCATTTTGTTTAAAAACAGTCTTTTTGTCATCACAATTCATTGCCATAACTTCAGAATTATCTTTTGTATCTTGTAAATAATACATACATATTTGTAGAGATTTTTCTCCCCTGAAAAAATATCTTGAAAATGTCAACCATTAATGCACTATCAAGCTTTAGTACCTTTACCTTATAATTTAAATTTTAGTACTTTCATTAAAATTTATATAATTTTCACTGAGACAATTCTCTATAAATCTATTAATTAATCATTGAAATCATATTTTCTTTTTTCTATATAATTTTGAAAACTAAAAATACAAACTGCAGTGTATTCTTATTTACAGTGGAATTTGAAATGGAAAATCAAATTATGGTAGAAGTGTGGCCTAAGATAACTAGCAGCCATACCAATTTCTTTTCTTCCAACGCTAAGGCTCAACTCACACATACCACTTTAAAACTACATGCAAACCACAAACGATGGTTGCTTGTGAATGATAATGAATATATAAACAAATGAAAGTAACTCAAATTGACCACTTGCTGAAGTCATGTTCGATGACAGCTGCAACATCTGGTTGGTATCAACCATAATATTGTTGCCATTGGTGGTTTAATGCAACTCACACAGTGTGATAGGCCTACCATACATACCAGGTGCAGGTGATAAATGATCATGTGAATGTTTGGCGTAAAAACCATTTACTCGATTCCATTTAATCTATATATATAAAATTACATGTCCTGACTGATTCATCATCACCCAGAGCAAATGGTTAGGAGGTGAAAGTTAAAATTTGGTATACAATTAGGGCACGTCATGAGAATGGACAGTATGAAGGGATTTTTCGATATTCCCCTCATGAAGGAGAGGGAGAGGATTAAGGGCTAGTACAGATTAGGCGTTGGGCGTTGCATCAAACGTGCATTAGCAGCATACACACTGTGCGTTTAGCTCGATGTTCAACAACCGTTCACACTGGCTCAGTTTGGAAATGGACATGAAAGTAATTGCTTGTGTGTGCCTCCTCCATCGTCACTATAAAAGACGATGGCAGAGGCAAAGAGAATTTTGGGTGCACCCAATATTACGAGATAGACTGACGCATGGAATGTTTGTAACGTTGTATGCAAAACTAAGACAATATGAACCCAAGTTTTTTAATTCTTTTAGAATATCTATAAAATCATTTGATGATGGCTGATCTCTTTTAGATTTCATCAATAAATAGATCAGTATTAAAATGACCATTCTCCATTTCGGCCAATGTGCATCCACTCTACTCGAAAGCACGTGACTGAAAGTACAACAACATGGCAGCACACGTATCTCAAAGCGTGCGGCTAACACCCATGAAACATGCATTCTAACCAAAATCTATCAACGCGCATTTGACGCATGCTTGACCATAAGCACGCATTTGAGTGTGTACATCTATGCAGAAATCTTGGTTCTTTAAAATGCACATTACCAAAGTGCACGCTTCAAAAGCCTAATGTGTACACCCTAAGACTTAACCAGACAAATGCTTCTACTGTACTATTTTAGATGCAATTTTTTGTATTTTTTGCAGAAAATCAAACATATTTTTAGACCATCTAAAAATTCTTTAATTAGTCTCAGAAGAGGAAGACCTAATTCATGCACCTGATGAAAATGGGTATGATCAGCTATAATCTAATAATGTTAATCTTCACTATCGTTATTTTTTGTCTGAGCAATGCCAGGCTCATCTGCTAGTACAGTGGGTGATCGGTTAATGAACAGATTGGATAACAAACACTTTTGCAAAAGATTTTTATGTTCGGACAACAAACACGTGATCAGATAATGAACACCCCACAGAACAAACACAAGAAGAAGCGATGTAAAATAATGAATACTGATTGGTCTTCCTTGTCTTCGGGCAACAATTCAAAACTTTTCGGAGTGTGGGAGATGTCGATATCGACGCTCAAGCCAGTATATACCAATTGGATAGTATTCCTCTGAACTTTGAAACTCTCCCTTGTAATTCCAGCCTTTTATTTTTCTGACAAAACAATTCTTTTATGTATTCGCAAGACTGTCGGGTAGGCACTCGTTAAGTTTTGCATCTGTTTTTCTTTTCAAAAGGTGAGAGTATAATAGCAAAGGTAGAGAGTGGGCAGAAGATGCCTAATGTTGCTGGGCAGTATGGCGTGAACAGGTCTACAGTAGGCCACAGTTCAATCTTATTTAAGAAAAATACTGTATAATCAAAAAGACTGAAGCAGCTAAAGGAGTAACAAAAATTACATCTGAGAAATAAAGAACATCAAAGAATTCATAATGGAACCTGAAACAGACCTGACACAGAACATCAAGAACTCTTGAATGAAAAACACCAAGAAGCTCGACGAGACATGTTTTCTTCTGAAAAAGAGGATTAATGCCGATATCTGTTATTAAAGATCCTTTGAAGAAGTGGGAGGATGTCAGAACAACAGTCTTAGAATGGCATCCAAACCAGGTTGAGGCTTGGGGATTTCTACAATTGCAATGCTATTAATTACTTATGAAAAATCCTGAAGAAGAGAGAAAAGCAATCAACATTAGACAGATTTTTTAACCCTTTCAAATGGAAAAACATGACTAATAAAAATGCAAGACTGTGTATGTATGTATTTTTATTATTACATATAAATAAACATAGTAAGAAAGTATATATTTTTTTATTTTTGGAGGTCTCCAGAACAAATTAATTAAATTCCCATTAAAACCTATGGTAAATCAATAATCGGTTAACGAACAATTTGGATAGCAAACAAAGTCTTGGAACGGATTATGTCCGTTATCACCCACTGTATTTAGTGTAAAATGGAGATGGAGTGTGATTCTTTTTACACAGAGTTATTTATAGCACAAATTCAAAATTTATAAACTCTTTAGGACTATACAAATGCTGTTTGTAGCAACTAAACCGAAAAAGCAAAGGCATGGGAAACTTTTTTGAAGGAAAGATAAAAAAGAGAAGAATGATTTAACTGCAATTATTCAACAATTCAACGCATAGCATCTTATTAAATTGATTACTACTGGACGTTTAAAGGTTTTGGAGTGTTAACACATAGCATCTTTGCATTTATTATACTGCCATTGTAATTCATTTCTGGTAATTAGAAAATAATCAGCAAATTTATCTAGAACTGTTCAATGATCTGTCCACTCAGTAATGCATGTAATTTTCAAATGGAATAAAATCTGATGCCATTCAAGTATCTTCGTTAGTTTGTACTTTCCCAACTAATGAAAAAGTAAGTGAAACTAACCTTTGTTTTTATATTCTATAATTGAATGAACTCAAAAACTTCTATTTTGACTACAACATTTTCTTCAGCATAATAAAAACCATAATAGAGCTTATTTTTCTAAATTCATTTTTATACTAAATTTTTGTGGTGTGGTTCTCTGCTATCAATACAAACCACTAAACCATGGTAGTGAGTGGTCATTTCCTGCAATATCTATCTTCAGCAAAACCACAAAATAAATGCAGAAAAGTGGTACATATGCATCAAACCTAACTGCAGTCAGAAACATGTTTCCATAATTGGCCACACGGCAGCATTCACAGTCCAACACTTGATACTAATTTAATAATACAAAGTTTTAAAAATCCCACAAAATAGCTTATAACTTTAAGAAACTACATTGTGCAATTGTGAAACTAAATTGTAAATTGTACATACATGGTGCAAGAATTTTGTATCTTAGGAAAAATGTTTATTTTTTAATATAACATTAATTTAAAGTAACATTATTAGCCCCAAGTGTATTCTCCATTTAAATAAATTTAATACATTTAAATAAAATGTTATACAGAATTCAATTAATGAAAATTAAATTTTGTAAAAATTTTATAAATTTGCAAATTTTAAAAAATAGACTACCCTCTAAGAAATATCTTTTTGAACTTTAAAAAATAGATTATCTACAAATTATGTAATCTGTAAACAATCTATTTTTTAAGATTGAAAATACTAGTGTTTATAGACATTCTGTAACTCAATTTTTGATTAAAGCCTTATCAGATTATATTAGGCTATATTCAAGCTGATTTTCTAATAAAATCATTGTAAAATGATGCCAAAAAATGAACCATTGCATGCTAAATCCAGTGTAAAGTTAACTAATCATTTTCTGTCTGAATTTCTTCAGCCTTACTTTTTTTTTACCTAAGCAACAGCACTTCATACAGTCAACTCATCTCGTCATAAATGAAATCTCTTGCTGGACGGAATCGAGAGAGCAGATGGGTAGAGAGAGCATTTGTATGTCAGTAGTTATTGTAGACCACAGTATAAGTTACTTTTAAGCAATTTGCATATGTACAGATTGTGCCAAAACTCTCCATACAATGCACAAATCAAGGTCACCCGTAACCGAATAAATAAAATCATCGAACACTGGTAGTTTGGTCATTGGTTCGTGCCCGACTGATGGGCTGGCATCATGCAGCGTTCTGGGTTTCTGCATTTGTCTAACACCTAAACAGAATCCAGTTTCCATGTAGTCCTGCTAGAAATTACCCCGTTGGCAGATCACCCATGTGTTCCATTGCTTTATCTGTCAATCCACTGACGCAAATCTTTATGCTGCGAATAAAGCTACATTTCCCCTTTGTATGTATGGAAACTTTTGAGACACCCTGTATACACATCTATAGAGTTATGTTTCATACTGATTCTATTCTTTTTTTTTAATTCTCCACAAAAATTAGTAGATATATATTATATATATTAACTAGAGAGAATTAGAGAAAGAATAGAAAGGTGATTGTTGACTTTTTCCTTTACATGATTTGTAGATTTTGCTCCATTTCAGTTTACGAAGTATTGCATACTGCATTATCGTTACGGGTACGTACCTTTTTGTATATAATTCTTCTAAAATAGCCCATTCTCTAGCTATATCGTTATTAGATGCTTTAGCTTGCTGCGATGACAAATATCTATTCACGTCTCTTGCCATTTTTCAACAAAATATCGCAGGTCGAACTTCTAATACAAACTACTCGTTTCTGTCGAATCACGCCGGTTGAAAAATGCGTCGGAGGTCGCCACTGTCGCCGTATGAAGTACTGTAAATAGATTAATAATTTGTTATTTAAGCAAATGTTTTTCTGATTTAATAATTAATTAATTTGTTTATAATTAACATTTGGCCGTTTAAAATTCAATATATTTATACAAATTAATTATTATAAACATTTTATGATAATGCTGGTAAAAATAGCGGTATACCGTTGTCAAAATCTGAATTTATTTACATAATATAAATCCAAATTAAATAATAGAAATTATAAAAGTAAGTTGTTAAAATGAAAATGTCTGCCGTCTTACATTTCTGTGAAACAGACTACATTATGTAATCTTTATATTGAATTAAGAATAAAGGCAATTTTTCTGTCGTTAGCAGCGGCGGCCCGTGATAAGCGTTGCGGAACTGCAAAGAAAAATAAAATCACAAAACGTTATTGAGTTTTATTACATAGTGATTATATAAATTATTATACACGGTTAAAATCAACGTTTTTATCAAAACATTATAGAAAATCAAATCGATTCTATTACGGTTGTTCACTACTGCGATATCACTCCATATTAGCCACAAGCCGTCACTGATAATCAGTTTTTTAACTCTACGCTTTGTACAGGGATCTTATTTATACATACTGTGGGTTCGTGCAGGACCACATTGGAGAGCGGGGTGGTGACATATTTGGAACGGACCACTCCCAAAAATTACTCGAGTTTTTCGATCCCGGATTCCAGAGTGATAGTTTAAAAACCCTGACAAAAAGAGAAAGTGGCCTATCCACGGATCATACAAAACTCTACTAGTCAGCGCCAAACGCTGATGTTTGGCAACTACGCATTTAGGTGTTGGAGACGAAGAAAATCCAGAAAACATGCTCTCAGCATGGTGATCAGGCGCAAACTAGGTGATCAACTACCAATGCGCAGTGGTTTTAACCAATCCGCTACGGGGAGGCAAAATGGAAGATGGTGTGTATTTGTATGATCCAAAATTCATATTAATCGAGTTAACGTATTTGTTTAAAATACCCGTTCGTCACATGTGTCGTATGAGCTAGACGACATCATATTTGATATAGTGTAACCAAGGATTAAAAACACAAATACATGTCAGTGGCGTAGCGTGGGTGTCAGCCGCCCGGGGCGGAGGAAAATTTCGCCCCCCTTATTTAGGTATCTCAATTTAAAAGACTAAAATTCAGTTTCGTCACAGAATAAGTAATGAAAAATTCCGTGCTAATGTTGCCACCTTTTTAAAATCGCCGACCCGGACGGCAGGTGAAGTTTGTTCGAATAGAAGTTCCTGACGCATGCGTATCATTTTGCAATGCGAAGAATAATGTGCAGTGCATGCTGGTTCTAAATCAGTTACAGTTAGCGGCTAGGGAGACTTGGATAGGAGTAACGCAAGTGACTTAGCTGTATTGGATATTGGAGGTGTATGGGTATGAATTAATTGTACAAGCAAAAAAAAAAGGTCAACAGGTCGCGCACGATATCCCCGGACGGCTAGTCGATTCCAGGTCTATCCAGATGGATTTAACACTATTCCGTGCTCATTTCAATCGGTCCAAGTCGTAGGTGGACGAAAATATGAAATGAAATGGTTCAAATTCTTACAGGATATTATTATTATTTATTGTGAAATTTTGCCGTCTCCTAAAAAGTGCCCCGGCCGCCCCTGCCGCCCCCACTACGCTACACTACTGATACATGTACTGTATATATATATTCTTTACAATAAATATATATATGAATATATGATTTGTAAAGAATTCATATAGAAAGACGGAAATGAAGGAAAATTTGGGGACAGCTATCAATCATTTTACTTTTTTTTCTTGTTTACCAATTCATTATTTAGTAAATATTGCTCGTAAGCACATAAAATAAGTAGAGGTGGAAACCATGGCAAGACTATGATATTGTCGTTGAAATAATAACGATTTTAGACAAATATATCCATGCTCAAGAGGGACAAAGATGAAGTGGGATCTCCTCATCTCATTTGATAATTTTTTAAAAATTAAAACAAACAAATTATGTTATTTTTATTTTAACTTAAGTATCTTGTACTTTTTAGTCGAATCCAAAACTTCGTCACATTTTTATAGAATTTGATATTATCACGTAAACACTTCATTTAAGAAGTTTAACACTTATATATACTACGAAGACATTGTATTTATTGTATTAAGAACGACTGACACGAACCAGAACGATGTTCTCAGATTCCTTTAATTGGGAAAGAAAAAACCAAGATTAATAATTTTATATATGTATGAAAATTTTAGCTCAAAAGTGATAATTTTAAATGGCAGATAAGATAAATTGCATCTTCAAATCTGGCAACTTTACTGCCATCATGTTGGTGGTTAAATCAATTATGGCCAATCCATTAGCGGAAGGAAATGAGTTACAGTTATTCCAAATTATTGAGCATTAATGTTAATAAACAATGTTTTCGCTTTTTATACTGTCAGCGTTTTTATTCAAAAATAAGCTATTCCCCATTCGAAAGATTGGCAAGTATGTAAATAGGAGCCAGTTTCCCATAGAAATTTATCCTGTGATGCATCCCTCCGTGCAGATCGTTCAAGTGTTGCGTTGCCTTATTAAAACAAGTTATCTTCTATTTAGGAAGATAATTTTTTGCGACGCGAATAAATTTAATGTTAGAAGTGTCGCAAGAGGCAACAAATTAGAGACCTCTTCACATTACGACAAGAGGAATTGAAAACTAAATGTAAAAGAAACGTCGAAATAAACAGAAAAGTTTAAAAAATTAAAGACATGTCGGATAAAGAAGAATAAGACTGGAGATAATGTTTCAAGAAGTATATTGTTCATTGCTTTCTAGCCTTTAGTTACATTAAATTTTTGTGATAACCTAGCCAGTTACTTAAATTTCAGGGCTCATCTCACCAGTGAATATGATATTATAGAAAATTTCTTTAGTTTATTTTGTATCTAAGTTTACAAAATAACAATGATGAGATAACATCAGCTTCTTTAATTGTGATGTGTTCGTGGTTATTTTAATCATTTCATGTAACTTTTATGTATATTTACTTTGTTACCTTTATAAAAACACCAACTGAAAGGGGTTCCGAAAGAGTCCGAAATGCATTTTGAGTGTGTTGTATTCGTTTTAGATTCAATCATTGTAAATTTTTTTTATTCTTTTGTAAACTTAGACATAAAATAAACTAAAGAAATTTTTTGTAAAATCATATTCACAGGTGTGATAATCCCTGAAATTTAAATAACTGGTTAGGTGATCACAAAAATTTAATATTTCAAGAAGTATTTTGAAAATAAAAAAGCAGCAGAGGAAGAGCATCTCCAGGATAAGGACATTTCACCGCAATCGCCAGCTTTAGATATCCAGTATTGCAAGTTGATGGTCGAATGAAAGCTAGAAGAAGAAAAGTACAAGGAGAAAACAGGAAGTCCTATGAAAAAATAAAGAATTGGAAAGAAGAACGTAATGAATAAAGAAGGCTTCCAGATATAAAAAAGTTCCAGTACTCTAAAAAAGAAGCTTCAAAACTTACACTCAGAGTTGGAAGAAATACAGAAAGCTCCGGAAACAAGCAGGTCCGTGATATCAAATATACAGTAGAATTTCCAAAACCGACTTGTACTTATCGGCCAATTTTCTTAAAAAAATGTAGCGAAAGCTTTTATTTCAACAAACTTAAATCACACAGATGTGTGACAAGTACAAAATGATAAGTGCCAAAAAATTAATGCTTCGTAAAAAATATTGGAAGTAAAATTGTACAGAGTCGGAAACATAGTCAGGCCGGGTTTATACGTGCATAGATTTTCTGGCGCCAGTTATCACTCTAGTAAAACTTTTTCACTAGTTACTGTTTACACACAACTGTTAAATTTTCTATTTCAATTTCGTTTTTCAAATGCTCAAGTATCAAATCATTTATATTACTTTTCTGGCTGTTATAACAGAGGAAAAGTATGGCGATCCGGTAAAAAATTACTTCCGAGATTTTTACATTTTTGGACTGAGGACACCTTGAAACGTCGAGAAATGCAAAATAAATTCGGGGAAATTTCTGTATGTATGAATATTAGTGTGTGTGGCACGATTTTGTTAAACCTCTCTGAAGCTTAATTAATAGTTCCTGTATTTTTTTGTCTAAAATTTCTAAAATTTCGCAGGGAGGTTTGTTTATTAGGGCATTGATGCTATTAAATTTCGGTGGTTAAAGGTCGACGGGGTGGGGGAGATAATGGGGGTCGGACTTCATGACGATTTTACTCATTATTAACATTTATCGTTTCTTATAAAACTCATCCCTACCCTCAAAATTAAGCTTTTTGCCGTTTTATAATAGTTAAAAATATAAAATTTTTAAAAAATAAACTATGATAACATATGGCGCCACCAAAATTTTAAACGTCTCCTGAAAAGTTAAGCAATCGTTGATGATTTATTTTAATCTTAAATGAAATTTGTGTTTAATTATCAGACATGTTGTGTTTTCTTACGTAGTAACAACAATACATACAGTACCTAGTAATAAAATTAGCCTAATAGTAAAAGCACAACTTTCGGAAGATAAATCTTCACATGCACAAATGGATGGGCATGACAGTTCGTGTTTCACACGTGCAACTAATACTGATACAGGCGTGTGATTCATCCCTGGCGTGTCAAAAGTTGGAAGTTTCGAATTTTACATTTTTGCATGCAACGATGCCACTGGCGCACCACGACGCTTCATGGTCGTTTCTTGTTTATTCTGTAATAGTTCGGAATATTTGATAAAATATGCAAAATAATCAAGAATAACTTCCATACTGAATGTTTTTGCAAGAACTGTTAAAAAAACACTTAAAATTACAATTGTGTTTTTCGAACAACATTATTACTTTCTATCTATACAATAGCGAGGTCGCGGCTGAAGTTTTCATCTGTAAAACGTCAAAGTCGAACGTCGAGCGCCTCCATCTTGTAAACGGCGCTTGACGTTCGACGTCCACGTTTTAGAGATGAAAACT